GCTAGTAGCCTTGGGATACGGGCCGAGCTGAAGCGATACGTCCAGCTTATACAATGAATGTGTAATAAATAAGTGTGGCTTAAGGCTCTTTAATCGCAATTTTTCTGATGTTTTAGAGCGCTAGACACGGTTGCCCCCCCCTAAAACGACGTTGTCAGCGTCTGCTGCCAACAGCAGACGATTGTTGGACTGCATGCCATGTTTTTCCATTTTGCTGCTGGTCTCTGATTCCACAACTCTGCATTGTGACCGCCTCATCGCACAGTTGAGAGAATTCGAGTGAACGGTACCGAGTCATCACAAACTCAGACCCTCTTCACTGCCCACCTACACATACAGTCGTCATGACTATGCAAATGTGTAGTTTGAGAAATCGAGTCCTGCCTCGGTCAGCGGCACTCGTCGTATACGCTGAAAAGAATGCCCAGTTCCGAACATAAAAATGGTTGGCTCGAACGCCGAATTCGGTCCACCTCACGTCTAAGTCTGGCACCGTGGTCGATCTGGTCGTGGGGTACGTGGGCGGTTTCTGGCAATAAACCATTCGAGCTATTCGTCCCGTCTTAATCTGTGCATTCACTCTTCTGCCCAGTGCCTGGGCCAAGTCGGTCTCCGTGTACATACTTAATAACTGCCTCGAAAGTCAATAAGACTCGGCTCCCCAGGGGAAAGGGATAGTGATATTTTTTGACATTATGCTAGAAACGAGAAGATGCTACGTCTGCCCCCAAAGAGTCGGGCCGGAGAGGACGGCCTAGTGGGCAAATGATAGCGATCTGGACTGCGTACCTTCGACTCCGAGGCACGTAGACGTCTAGACCGACGTAAAGTTCCTTGTTGCAGAAAGCCGTCGCCAGCAGCTCAACTGACGACCAGTGCTCAACTCGAGGAGACACTTACGCGCGGTGACACATCACGGAGGCCGAGATGCGTCGCTCTCGACTGCCTTGCCCGACTGCCCATCTCCCGTGTCCATAGCGACACCAGTCGCAGCACACTTCTGATGCTGCATGAGTCAAAAGTGGGTGTGGTACACTAAAGTTCGCCCAGCC